CTTGGGGGGACCACGTTGTGGCGGCGGTAGTGGGGGGCGCGGGGTTGAGTTGGGGGAGTTGTCCTGTCAGGAGAAGGTGGGATGTGTGCGCGCCGAAGGAATCAATTTCCGCCTTGGCAAGGGTGCGGGTGTTGACGACGCGTATGGGCCGGACTCCAGTAAGCCCGGGAGGGGGTGTGATCGCCAGGGCAGAGGTTCAGGGCCATGTATGGAGTGCCTGCGTGATCACTGGAGTTGATAGTGTGCAGCCAGATGCCACTAGCTCCCACTTTGTGGGCTGTTCGGGCCGAGATGTAGATATCGTCGAGTGTAACGGCCGTGTTGTTGAGGGCGTAGGTGTGCCTTTGGAGGGTGGGGTGGCGGTGACGGAAGGTGGAGGTGAGCCCCAAGCGTTGCGTCCATTGCTGGAAAGCTATGCCGATATCCTTGTTGGCGCCAGTGCGTGGCGTTGGGGCTGACCGGTCGAGGGGGTTAGGCCCATAGGTGTTGAAGTCACCTCCCATGATCACATAGTGATGTGGACCTGCGACGCGGGTAGCTGCCTGTGCTAGCCATTGCCATTCCCGGTCTGTGTCCTCCTTGTGAGCTGCGGGGTTGTCTTGACAATACGTGCCGAGTAGTGTAACTAGAGTGCCTTTCCCAAGGCGGATAGTGATAGCTAGACTACGTCCTGATGGGGAGTATGTGGTGGAGCGGGCGTCGATGCGGGAGTGCCAGCGTTGTATGTCATAGAGTAGACTCACTCGGTGGTTGCTGATGGCCATGAGGCTTGGTGTATGTGCACCTCCGGGTGATGGCGTCCACAGTTGTGTGGCCTTGTGTGCCGGCAGGTCAGCGTCAGCAATGATGAGGAAGTCAAGCGCGTTGGCGCGGAACCATGTGGCCAGTTCGGCTCTCAATTTACCGTACGTGTTTTTATTGATGTTGGTCGTGGCAATACGCAGGCTATCTACCCGCAGGTCGGGGGTCGGGGGTGTCCCTACGTCGCCAATGTATGCTTCACTCTCGAGGGTTTCCCGGCGGAGGACGTTGTCCAGTTGGATGCGTGCCGTGTTCATGTCTGGCGTGGGAAGAGGGAGGCGCTGGATCCGCCAGGAGCGGCGGCGGCGGCGCTGTCTGGGTTCGGTAGTGTTAGTGGGGGGGACGTTTGGGGCGGTCTGGTGGAGATCGTCCGCTATGCGGTGGTCGAGGTGTTCGGAGTTGTTGGAGTCATCCGAAGAGGGCGGGTCACGTAGGTGGTCGATATGATATGCAGAAAGGAGGGGGTGCACATAGTTTGCCGGTTGTGGAGTCAATGGGAGAAGTGGGGGGTCCGGGTGAGTGGCAGCGACCATGGGGATGGAGTACGTGGACCAGAGCAGGAAGCTCAGTATCCACTATAATACAGACCAGGGGCGGT